AATCAGCATATTAGAATGATTTCTGAAGATCATGTGACACTGAAGACTGGAGTAATGATGCTGAAAATACAGCTGCGCATCACAGAAATACATTACAGTTTAACAGATATTCACATAGAAAACAGCTGTTTTACATTCTAATAATATTTCACAATTTTGACTGTATTTTTCATCAAATAAATGCAGCCTCGGTGAGCAGAAGACACTCTTACCGACCCCAAACCTTTGACCAGTAGTTTATTTATCTGATCACAGTCTCAGTCATTTCTTCTTTCACTCATATCACACTCACACTTTAAATGTGCACTCATGATTTTACTCATGTTTTATGTTAAGTCAAGCTCACTAATCAGTTACGGAAATTGGCTGGAATTGTAAAGAGAAACTGTTCATCAAAGTTAGGATTGAGCAGCATCATCACACAGGTGTGCATAAAGCGTTGCTCTGGAGCGTCACTATCTGTGAGCCGGTCATCAGCGGGATCAATTATGCATGAAGATCCCGTTGGGATGTGCGTGCATTAACATACCTGATGGTGCGTCCTTGACCGGAGCCACCGAGTTTGACTGTTCGTCAATAGCAGGTCACTTTCCCCGGCGCGGCCCGTCTTCTGGCAGGAGCTCGCATCTTTAAGGTCACCTCCGCTGCCAGCGCTCATAAAACAAACAAACAAGATCCAGGACCGCCGAGATTTCACTCGCAGACCTCCACCAGGAGGAGCATTTACACGCGTGTTTCCTTCAGGCCTCCTGACCTTTCGGCGCTTCATGGGTTTCATGAGAAACAATGTGTTTAAGCCATGAAGTGAAGCTTGAGAATGCATGGAGCCGGGTCTGAAAGTTGCGCTTTCCTGAAGAGTTAAATGACGTAGTTTGACCCCTATGAATATTAATCGTCTCCCTCGGCTCTATTAAGAATGCATGGGCCGTTGTAGTTGTTGATCAGATTTTGGATGCCCATGCAAATTGGGCTGTCTTCCTTGTCAGCGGCGAAGATGAATAATGTAGTTGTGTTGTATATTCAGGGACACACCATTGACAGTCAATTAACAAGTTTGATTGGTGTGTGAACTCCTCCTTTTGAACTGTTAATTTTATGTAAATAGCATTCCCCAGATCTCCTCCTGGCAGGGTAACCTGAGCGAGCCTCTTAATAATTGATCACGCCGCACCTGTTTTTTATTTTTAAATATTATAATAGCCGAGAGGTCTGGCTTTTGATATTCAGATGCACAGCTACGGCTCTGATGCTGCTTGATGGCTCATAACTGGAACGCAGTACTGGTTTGTTGTAGGCCACAGCGCATAGACGGATCCCAAATAACGCTCGCAGGTAAGAAAGAAAAGCTCCAGCTTTCTAAGAAAGGTTCTGATCCTCCGGTTATTTCTGCTGCATGAGAATCAATCAGGCCGGATGTGTTTGGACTAAATATGCACAGACTGTTTTGTCTTTAACATGAAATAACAGGAAGTGATGTGAGTTTGGTTTGATGATTTCCTCCAGTGCAGTGAACTCTATAGAGCATCAGACTAACACTGATGCTGGTGCTTAATGCACTAAAACTAAAACCATAACAAGAAAATGTTGTTACTTGAAATAAACGTTAACTGAAATAAAATACAAAATAAAATACTTCTATTTCAGCTAGTTTCCTAGGCAACATTTCTCATTTTTATTTAGTTTAATTTGATGTATACATCATGTTTGGTTCGATTAAAACGAACCCTGGTGCGATTGCTCTGTTAGTGCGGTTCGTCTGAGTAAGTGTGAACACTGCCATCCGAACCCTGCATTTGACGACGCGGTGTATCCAAAACAAAATGAGCAGAGAGCAAACGTGGAGCAACGATGAGGTAATGTGCCTTTTATAATAAAATAAAATACGTACACTTCAAGAATAAGCGCACTTAGTCCAGCAGATGGCATTAGATGTGTTCGGCTTAAAGCGGCGCTGAGCAGACCGATCGGTTAATAGATGCTTTGATATCATACACCTGCAGCGCCGCTTTAAGTCTAACGCCCTTTAGGTTCACTGTCTTTAGGTTCGCTGTCAAAAATGCCAATGTGAACGCTAAGCGGACCAGGACCAAATGTATCATTTTCCTCTTTGGTCCGGACCAAATGAACCAAACGAACCGAACTACAAGTGTGAACACACCCTAATCCTGTGTGTGTGTTCAGTAGTGTTTGGAACGGTTCTGAAATGGTGCTTCAGTGACGGCGTCTGCATGCGGTGTCCTGTGGCCAGGGCTTTAGAGGCGCTCTGGTAATCTGGTTAAATGCAGTATCTGCGCATGCATGCTAATTGGCTCGTTTGACAGTGTGTACCAATTGATGGAGTCAGCTGTGATCGCAGCAGAGGTCACGGTCCTGCCGCTCTGGCCTCACGCTAAACACTTTACCAGAGCTTCAATTAACACCTGATCACCGACGGCCCGATTGATCGGTGGAGACCTGACCTCTCCTGCATCTCTGATGGAGCTCAGCTCGTGTATTTTTAGCTGTAGGATTAGGCATCTTCAGAAGAGAGTTCGTCTGTGGATTCTCAGCTAATTATCAGCTTGTAGGAGCTGCACATTTGCGTGTGCTTTCATCGCTGGTGTGAAACGGGAACTCTAGGTGATAAAATAACAATGAAGGTGTAGCGCGTTAATGAATGCTCTGCTGCTCAAACACAAATGCTTTAATAATGTTAATGAATTGCACCTTTTTTTGATGTAAGGCTCCGACATTTGGGCGTAACCATCACTTTTTATTATTCTCTTAAATGGTTAGTGATTTTAAAAGAAAGTGAAAGTCTCAGAAAGTCAAACTAAATCGTCATTTTTTATTGTACAAATGCTTTATAATAAAATTATGAATGTTATCTAGAATATTATATAAGCTATTCGTTTCTGTTTATCTTTTATGGGTTTTGCAAATTTTGCATTATTATTTTCTTATAGTGAACAATATGCTCAAATATTAAATAAATGTATCAAATATACAATGGTAGAATGGGTTACAGGCTTATCCTAAATAAAGCTGTCATTCAGTAGCAGGCTGCTTGTCTGGTTTGTAGACATTGGTTAACTTGTATTTCCAATAAAATACAGAAAATATTAGTTTGAATATAATTTTGGAATATAGCACTTTGTGTTAAATCTGAGAACATGGAACAAGATATTTGATGTTTCTCATTAGTAAGTTGCTTTGGATAAAAGCGTCTGCTAAATAAATGAATGTAAAGTTAATGTTGATTCACCGTCATGCTGTAGAAATTCCCCAAATGTTTGTTTTGCAGGGAAAACATCTTATGGTAATGGGGTTGCATGCAAAATGTGAGAAATTGTGCAGTATTATTTATTTATTGATTTATTTACAATAAATTGACAGTCATTTCAAATGATTTATCAAAATTGATCATTTACATTTTTATGCACGGACAGTGACTCGAAGAACCTTGCACATCTGAAAAATGCAGGCGTGCAAGAGAACAACTATATGATAAACAGAGCAGATGAAATATGCAGTATGTTTGAATGCAGTGTTTTGGTCGTCCAAGAATAAACAATAACAGACAAATAACAGATCAACCACCCAGAACACCCTACATGAGAGTCTATGGATCTGTCTAAGAGACTGCATGGCCTTCAGACTTTCACGCTTTCTGACTACGCTTTCTCAAGCCAACACGAAGTTTGTCTTGAATTGTGAGACAAAAAGTCAGAATTGTGAGAAAAAAAGTCCAAAATGTGAGAAAAAAAGTCAGAATTGTGAGAAAAAAAGTCCGAATTGCGAGAAAAAAGTC